ACACACACACACACACACACACACACACACACACACACACACACACAAACCCACACTCTCACACACCCACACTCTCACACACCCACATCAAAATACTTGCCCTCTAGTTTTGAATTTTATTTATATTTATAATTTTTTGATTTGTATAAACCAAATTTTGAGTAACTTTCTCTCAGCAATTATTCGTGACGCAGTCAATGTTTTATTGATACTTTATCCGTAGGCGGAGGCCTGGAGACCTATAGCACAGGGTATCCTAGTTTAGGCTCCAGCCTTCACAGACAACAAATGTTTTATTACTTAAGAATGTTTAATTATGGTTGAAATTGTGTGTGAAGGAAATAAATTTATTATTATTATTATTATTATTAGTTATTGCTAACGTTTAATAAAAAAATCATTTTAAAAATAAGTTTAAAATCAAAGCGACTCTATAATTTCTTTGTTCTAAATATTTCAACCGCTTGTGGTTCGAACAATTGAAAATGACCAAGAAGTTTACATATAGTTTACAGTCAGCTATTTGATTATTTTGCGTGCTTTTGTAATTTATATTTACGATACATAACACAATATATTTGTTTAGTGAAAATATGATACAAAATCCTGTTTTTACACTTTACTGCAGTAATTTTTACAAGTTATTATTATATTGGTACTGCATGATTGACAACCGCGCTGTCAGTCGAACAAACGAAGACTGTTATGCGATTTTAACGCCCTATAGGTGCGGACACTTTTTAGCGCAAACCCGACGTCCATTCATTGGTAGGTAAATGGTTAATTATTATTATTTAAATAAAATATTTATACAAAAAGAACGTTTATTGATAAGAAAATATTTATTAAAATTAAATGCATAAGTTAATTACCTCCTAACTCCTTTCAACGATTATTAAAATTAAATAACATTAACGTTTGTCAGACAAGATTTCAGACTAAAAACTAGGGCAAAATCTATGCATTTTCTATATTACGTTTGACCGGAGCTTAACCATTACATACATATCATGCTATAAACAAAACCATCACCTATTCCCGCAAACCCAATCACAAAGTTTATTTGAAATAATAAATATAAAGAAAACTTAACTGAAGGATTACATTTAAAATACCGAGATTTAAATAAATTGGATAAGTATCATGTAACATAAGAAATTTGTAGAGCGGCTTTGCATAATTTGCGTCGCTTCACATAAGGAATCTCTCAGCTGGCAGGTTTGTGACGAAATTCCCGATCTATTTTCTAGATTAAGTTGAGCTTAGTGTAACAAAAATATTTGCAAATAAATATGAGTATATTAAAGAATGAAAGGAAGAATTGCCTTGCGTCCCCTGGGGTACTCTGGGAATTCCTTCTTGTAGTTGCGGTGCTTGCCTATAGCCCATACAGCCATTTGGTAGAAACCTGCCGCGGCGAAGAGGCCCGCTGGAAATAATATAATTGATTCGTGATTTACCAATAGACGTAGAAATGTAGAAAAGATTCTAACCAATACTGGTACATGTTTGCTTCACAACGATGTGGCATTTTCTGCACATTAATGTTTCCGCATAGTATGCCGCAGCATATAACATGGCATTATTGTTCATTCGACGTGTTAACAATGCTCTAGGAAATACAAACTGACCAATAGCATCGTATGTGGATTATTTGTAAAGTATTAGGACCTCGCAGGACTATATTTCTAACATCATAAGCAACAACTTTTGTTCCAAGATTTTGCGTTTGTACAAAAACTTTTAAATAGATCGTTCTAAACGGTGATAAGTCTGTGCGGTAACAAAAGAAAGCGCTAGAATAAATATCAGTCCTATGCAAGACCCAGGAGTGGAAGTCGTTGGGTAGGAAGCTTGCACGTTGGAACGTATTACCGTACTACCAAATAGATCTAAAAAGTGCCAAATAGTACAACAAAAACTTCAAAGTTTATTTTTGGTAAATTTATAGTTTTTTTAAAAGACATGGAACAACTGTTTATGACGTTAGTAATATGGTCCTGTGAGGTTGTTACTTTTAAAAAAAAAGTCTTCACATACATAAATTAATAGTGTTTCGCGCATCACACACAAATACTGCCTTCAAATAGAGTATTTGTAACTTGTTAGCAGTCTCAAGTATTATGTAATCATTTTAAAAACATAAATTTACAGTGACGATTGCCGTAACGTTTTGAGCGTATTATGAGAAAATGCCTAAGATAGTTACACTGCTGAAGTCATAAAAATCGTACTGTACCCGTCTCATTGACGTCATCACTTTTACCACAACGGAATTTATATCCAATGCACGTCCAGTCATTTCCGAGATATGGTAGTATAAAGTTTAAAAGTATTTCTCATTATTGTTTTATTTTCAAAACTCATAATGTCATGTATCTCCAGATATATTTATTTGTTTGATGTTGGATTTTTTTGCTGATCTAAGACGTTAGACTTTAGGAACCGTTTGGTACATATTCATTTTTTGTGGATTGAATCCTTTTTGCTTAACTACTTCCGTTTGTGAGGACCAGTACTTAGCGACTGCGACAGCATTATCAGTGGCTTTGTATAGGTCCTTGCGTGTGCAGGTACAGGGACACGCAGGGCAGGACAAAAGATGTGCCATTGTCTGGGGAGAGACACCACACAGACATGCGCTCTCCGAGCTGTAACCCCACCCGTGCATGCACTCCTTGCTTCGGCCGACTTCGGTCCGCAGCCTATTTAGGGATTTCCAAGTTTGCCAAGGTAGATCATGCCCAGGAGAGGTGTTCCAAGAGCGGGATGAGAGAGATGCCGTGGGGTATCTCTCCTTCCAGAGAGAGGGTGGTGATATCAATCAATCAGAGTAGTTACATAGAACCCATGATGGAAGTCTGTTGCAAAGACCCAACAACAAGAAATAGTTACTTCGTAATATTTCGTCTCAGCAAAGAACGCCGCTCAAGTCGCAAATTGACGATTTTTACTTTTGAATGTTAGTTAAGTGAATAAAACCTGTATATCAATAAAAATTATAAAACCCAATACGCGTACAATTTGTGTTATCCATAAATAGATCGCCTATTACTAACAGCTTTAAAAAAATTATATACAATGCAGTATTTTCACTATCGTTTAAAATTTTTCAAAATAACTTTAGTGACACCACTAAAGCACTAAAGCTGTTTGCTAAGCATGATTTTCTTAAATCAAATTACCTGGAGCACATTTAGTCATAATGGTAAAGAACAGCCATGAACCAAACTCGTAAGTATAGTTCGGACAAGATACGTAGTTGAAGAGAAGACTGAAAGGGTTTCCATCGGGCATAGGAATACGTCTCACTTTAGTGCCAGGTGGACGAAGATTTTTCAGGAGAATGTGGATGCTCAAGTTGCCCAACTCGCACAGCTGAAAATATTAAAATAAAATAGCCTTTATTAGCAGTCATTGCCCCTCATTAGCCATACCCAAATAATGAAATAGAAAATAGTGATTTTATATATTTATTTACATTTTATAATGCTTGAGAGTATATTAATATAACTAATAATAAGTTTCGGTATTTTTGTGTTGATCTCTTTCAGATGAAAGCCTCCTTTAACTGGTTTTATTAATGGCAATAATTATACAGCGCAGGAATAAAATGTTAGTACCTCACATATATAATAAACAGTGTTTTTTTGACTGGGACTGGATGGGAAAATCCGAAACTATATAGGAGACACACAGAACCTGTCTTAGAAACTACTTAGTCTTTTATTGTGAAAACAATTTTGGCAATTATTTGGTAATTTTTTTGTTCAAGCTTAAATTGTCTATAAAAATTAATATGTTTTTTTTTGTACTGAAGACTCAATTTCATGTAAAGATCATTTCATTGAATTGTAAGATAAAAATCGGAATCGGAAGTTGATCAAATTTAATAAAATGTTTTTTCATACAAAATGGATAAGATTGGCGATTTTTTTTTTATGCTGATAGACTTAATTTCTTATAAGGATACTTTGATTGTACCGGAAGAAAAAATCGGGCCAGCAGAAGTTGGACAAATTTAATAACATGTTTTTTCATACAAAACTAATAAAACTGACATTTTTTTTAATTCTGATAGACTCAGTTACATATATGGATAATTTCATTGTATCGGAAGAAAATATCGGTATAGCAGAAATTGGTTAAATTGAGTAAAATGTAAATTCATTTTGTATGAAAAAACTTTTTATTAAATTTGACCAACTTCTGCTGTCCCGATTTTATTCTTCCAATACAATGAAATGATCCTTACATGAAACGGAGTTGTCAGCACAAAAAAGTAATAAATTTTATTCTATTTTATTACAATTCGCGCTTGGCCAAAACTTTAACGTGCCAAAATTGTTTTCACAAAAAAAGACTTAATGTTTCCTAACGCAGTTTCCCTGTATCTATCTCGCTGTAGTTTCGGATTTCCCCATAGTGTCCCAGTAAAAAAAACAAACTGTAAATCACATATTAAATATTTGTAATATTTTTACATGGCTTTTGTGAAATTTAAATAATGTTTTCATTAAAGCTGCTTTTTGTCATGTGTATGACCTCTAATTGAAACATCGCAACATAGAATATGACATTTTGAATCAAACTAGGTATATAGAATTTTCTATCAAACTTGAAAGTTAAGATACCTTTCATGAAGAATGGAAGAGCATAACATGGCAAAGCAAACCTTCTGTCGTCTACAGAGAGTTATATATAATAGTTTTGGAAATACCATTTCTATAAGATCAATTTGTTAATGTATTATAAATTGTTTAGTCATTTATTGTAAAATTATATTAGACAATTTCCTCAATTATAATAATAGGTTGAAGTCCAAAATTGCCGCCCTGTATAGAATTCAATTAAAAAATGTTTCAATCACCACATACTCAAGTGGGTATGTGGTTGAGACAGTTCTCGACCACTATAAACTGAAATATCAATGTAGAAAGTGGCAAAGAGTTTCAATCTGCAACTCTGCTGTAGTATGTAACTCCTGAAGTTATCATGATGTTTACCCCCTACAGCAGTGCCACATCGCAATTCAGATTTAAAAAAATTTGAATATTTGAATCGGTGTCCAGTTTAATTTCAAAGTGAATGCATAATTAACCAGATGACAAACCAAGTAATAAAGGCCTTAATATTTTATATAAAAAGAACTTGTAATCTGATTCGATTAGACTAAAAAAAGCTCTTCTTTTAAAAACGGGAGTTGCAATTTCCCACTTTTGCCACTAAAACATAGTAATTGGGAAGTACACATTCTTTTGAAAAAACTTTGCAACATTTACAGTAGGTTTGGTATAATAGTACTATATCACTATATATATATATATATATATATATATATATATGGTATGGTACGGTATGTCATGCAGGTCTTGCAAAATAATGATAAAAACGCTCAGTCCACATGAATTTTTTAGACAAGGAATAAATAACAAAGGAGGGAAAAGGTGAAGGAAAATGAGAAGAAAGCTGTAACAAAAACAATGGTATAAAAACAGGTACAATAATATAAAAACACTACCTAAAAATTAGACATAAACGTAAGTGAACTTTACCCTAAAAGGGCCTGTATTCATATGTAATATATTGCTGCTTTATAAGCAGTTAGGTTGACATGATTGAATAACATTTCTTTTCTCCTCGAGAATTTTGATGGGAGTGACGACGGCACGAAGCAAAGTAGGAACAATGAAGAAAAAGAATTAGAAAATGATTCCAAATCTCAAAAGTAAGTGGCCAGGAACCAGAGAAAAGGGTAATGAAAAGGTGTGATGAGAAGGTGGGATGTCGATAAGAGGTCACGTCGTCATAGATATGACGGAGTGGTGTGCGCAACTCGACGTCCAGACGCCTATTTTGCATGTGGGATTACACAGTACTCTATTGAAAAATTTAAAGTTTTTCACAAACTAACATTTAATATGGAACCCACAGTCCTATGCATACCCTAACAGAAAATCAGTGTAATGTTTATATTATAATAAATAGCTTCACGGTGTCTTAGCCACATAGAGAATTTAGAGAAAACTATTAAAGCAGTAATGTTATTAGTTTCATATCAATAATGCACTCATTGTATATTCAAGTATGTTAGATGTGCCATAAATACAAACTTTTATCATTGACATGTGGTTTCTGACAAAAACAGTTGCTAAATATTGGTGAAAGTTGCTGTTTATTTATCATTTAATTAATTTGCTTTTCAGTTTTAATTTTAAGGCAAATCTGATGTTGCACCAATGTCAAAGTTCACAAATAACAAATCAGTGTCAGAAATAGATGACCTTACACTACTCTATTGTAGGGTGTACATTAGTCACATCAATGATTACATTAGCCAAAAAATAAACAGTGTGTATGTATAAGACATTAACTTTGAAGAGCAAATGAACTTTGATTATACAAGGTCACAATTTACTAGTATTGTATGTTAAGCAAAATACCTCCATTCAACCATTAAATAGACTCATTATCATGTTAAATATTACAGTACCAGTGAGTTAACTAAAAATTTACAATGTCATCCAATGTAATTTATAGTAAGGAATGCTTCCTTTAGGATATATTTATTAATGAGTTATTTTCCTTATAAATATATTAATAATGCCTTTTTTTACCTTGTTTCTTCTTCTAATAAATAATTTCTATGTGTATGTTATGATCATGAATAAACAAATAAATGTTAAGTGTCACCTTACATGCAAAGTGTACTACTAAATCCAACAAAATGTTATCAGAAATGAACCAAACATAAAGCCAGTCAAGGTAATATAATGATAAGGTATTTAATACTCACAGTGAACCCTACTAGTCCCAAATAGAAGCTGAATTCACAAGGAGGAGTGTACAACGGATGGTTAATATGGTATGCCACATATAAGGTGAATAACCAGTAGTATGCACAGTTCCTGAACAAATTGCGCAAAGGCATTGTGCCATGGGAGAATCGATGCACAAACATTGTTTCCAGAAGTCTTTTGGCATAATGGGCTGACCAACACAATGCTGCTACCCTGAAAAAAAGCAAGTTTTGAAAAAAGCACTTTTTGGTATTGTTTAAATTTAAAATTTGATCAAAGAACCATAAAAACACTTACGTGGCGACGGTTCCAGGAGTAGTAGACTGTGCACCGTATAGAAGCCATGGCCGCTGGTATGCCCACAAGTAAACAAATAGAGGCCCAGCGTATTCCGCCAAAAACACATTTTTCCAAGATATTTGGGGACCTAAATCTTTCAAATATAACTTAGCGCCTGTTTGAAGGTTCAAAGACTTTAGAATGTCTTCATCTTTCAGCGTTTTTCCTTTAGCTTCCAACTTAATCGCTTGCCGGTCGGGGTACAGGGACTTATTTAGTTTCTGGTGAACCTTTTCTTTAACGTCCTTGATGCTATTGTCTTCATTAACTTGAATCTTCCCTAAGGGTTTGGAGCCGGCCACGTTGAGAATTTCTATCTGTAAAAATGATTTGATATGTAAAAATTAAAATTCCTTGTCACGCTACTTAATCTTCATATTTTAAAGCGATGTACATGCCTCCATTTTCAAGTAAGTGGATTTCTAACTTGTAAACACAAATCTTATTCAAATCACAAATTAGAATTTTAACTAAAATTGCAAAGACAAGGATGCCAATGATGAGAGTTTTTCAATGCTGCAACCACGAAGTACTTTGCAACATGACGTATCGACATCGACAACGAATCGAGAAACTGACCAATGACCATAGAGAAACTTATTTAGAAACTAAACTGACAAACCCAGAAGCAAAAACTCGTAGACGTATATTAGATAGAAAAATGCCATGGACGTTGTACGCACGTACAAGAAGTCATAATACATGACTAACGACATCTAGCGAAAAAGACGTTTAAGGTCTTTTAGACGAGCAGCACATTGCTAAGGCCATAACAAAAGCCTGTAGTGGACCTCATAAGTTGTAAACGAGATTTTTCATACAAATTAAAAAAAAATATAAAGATATCTATGGAAACTGAATGTTTGGAGTGACCGCGTACTAGCATCAAGCTGCTGGAGTAATCATCGCTCTCTACTTGTAGTCACTTTTGGCTGCCCTTATCCCATATCTTGTGCAGCTGTGTTTAACATACTCGATACCCATTTCAATATACATTTAACTGCCTCAGTGGTTGAACGGTTACTATGCCGGACTGCCACGGGAGAAATATTTGTAAGGCCTACATTTATTTCTATCGCGACTTTGGGTTTAATTTGTGGTTGTCTATGTGTGTATCCATGGCACCCACGACAGAGCGGCTGCCTATCTGGCAGTTAAAATATCAGGTTCGTACAGCGACAGAGGAAAATAAGTCAACGCTTAGAAGGAACTATTCCTTAAATGTTATATTCCAAACTTTATAATAACAACGCACACACACACACACACACACACACACACACACACACACACACACACACACACACACACACACACACACACACACACACACACACACACACACACACACACACACACACACACACACACACAGTCAAAATAGCCGCGCACTAGGGAATCCCTGTGTCGCGGGTGCTTTGGACACGTACATAGACAACCACAATTTACACCCAAACTCACCTCTGCGTGGCAGTCGTATATATATTCAGAGGCAGTTGTATATTACTTCCCCCCCATCCACCATCATAAAAATTGAACAGCGGGCGTACTTTTGTGACACGCTAATAACGCTAAAAGAGGGCATTTTGAGAAGTTGGTAGTATCGTATTGGTAGACAGTCTAGAGTACTTGTATATTGATGTGTGCGTTTGTGATTCACGTGTGTTTATGTATTTGTGACGGGAGTGAGTTGATTTTTCAATGTGTTTGTGATAAATGGCGACTTGTGACTAGAGCATATTTTTGTGAAAATATCCTATGAAATTTGGAATTTAGTGATATTTGCGAAGTGAAAAGCGTTTAATTATATTTTGAAGATGCGTTCAGTAGTGGAGATAGGAGCTACGGTCCCGGCATTTCTGGGGAAACTATGGAAATTGGTCAACGATTCGGAAACGAATCATTTGATATCATGGAGCCCTGTAAGTATTTTAATTGTATTATTTGATTAAAACATGGTACATTTCTACGTAATCGATCAGAGAATCAATTTTTACGAACGATATACAAGTTAGTGATTACTAAACAACCTAAAAATTATACAGTTAATCAATGCCGTATATCTTTACGAAATCGTAATAAATAAATAGTTTAAAGTCACGTTTTCTACCATGCTATCGTTGTGCTTGACACGAATGTAATAACAGCGTCCGAAACTTGCTTTTACATTACGTAAATTAATAATGTTTTGTTTATCAAATATGGACAAGATATTTTCAAGACATAGTCACACTATTTTGTACTTTTTAGCGTTGATCTGTTGTTAATATTATGATTATGATACTCAATAGATTTAGTAGGTATATACTCTCAATACTTATTAAGACTATTGCATTACACCACTGTATATGGAAAATTACTTGTCAGATTATAAACTAAAATGTATGGCTATAATATGTTGAAGATAATTATTTGTAAGATTAATTATGATATAAAACATAAATATTCAATTTAGTATTATAATTAAGATAGGATATTAAAAAATTGATTTGATACATATATAAGTCAAAGTAATGTGGTAATAATGATTAGATATTTATTGAAAAAGTATAATTTGTGGGTTTACTTTTACCAAGAAGTTGCATGTTTTTTGGAAACACTTTTTACATATTTATTTCAAAATTTCTTGAAGTGGAAAGTAGGTTATGAGTTTATTTATTCTTTGTTAGTTGGTGTTCAGATTACATTGATATAAATTTTTAGGGAGGTAAGACATTTGTTATAAAAAACCAGGCTGATTTTGCGAGGGAACTCCTGCCTCTGTATTACAAGCACAACAACATGGCTAGCTTTATCCGGCAATTGAACATGTATGGTTTCCACAAAATAACATCAGTGGAGAATGGAGGCTTAAGATATGAGAAAGACGAAATTGAATTTTCCCATCCCTGTTTCATGAGAGGTCATGCTTACTTACTAGAGCATATCAAAAGGAAAATTGCAAACCCAAAGTCCATTGTGGCAAGCAATGAGAGTGGTGAGAAAATCGTACTAAAGCCAGAATTGATGAACAAAGTCTTATCAGATGTTAAGCAAATGAAAGGTAAACAGGAGAGTCTGGATGCAAAGTTCAGTGCCATGAAGCAAGAGAATGAAGCATTATGGAGAGAGGTGGCCATCCTGAGACAGAAACATATCAAGCAGCAGCAGATAGTAAACAATGTAAGTACCTATACCCAATTTATTGAAAGTATTCTTATGTTTTCATATCATAATTTGTTTTTCAGCTTATCCAATTCCTTATGTCCCTTGTGCAACCAACACGGCCCGGAAATGCTAATGGTAACAATGTTGGAGTGAAGAGACCTTACCAGTTGATGATAAACAGTGCAGCTCACAATGCAGATGGATACCCTGGAAAATTAAAGAATGTGAAGCTTGACAAGGATTTGTTAGAAGATTTGAACGAAGATAATCTGGTGTGTTGTACTTTTCATTATGTGTTAAAGTTTATGATTTATAGCATGTAAATATTTAGCCAAAATTTAATTACATTGTTTGTTGTATTAGACTCATGAAGTATTAGTTTCTTAACGTGAATGTTTATGAATTTGTGATATATATTTTAAAGGAGGAAGGACCCACAATTCATGAGTTGGCTCATGATGACTTGCTGCACAATGAAGCTTCTCAGGACTCTGTGAATGCTGCCAATTTTATCAATCAAATATCTCCTAGATCGAATTCTAGAACAGGACTCAGCCCAACCAATAGTGCTTCTGCAGTGCAGTACCATGTAACTATGGAAGATGGAGAAGATGGTGACAATGGTAAGTTATTTATGTACCTACATATTGTTATCATATAAATTTGCCACCTTGTGATAGTTTACTTAATTAATGTTTTATTTTCCTTCTATGTAGATGCCAACAGGAATGTTTATGCTACCTACCAAACTAATGGATTATTGGGGACAGCAGATTCACAGCCAATTGTGACGTCATCGTCGCCGACCAGTGTGACGACACCGGCTTCTCCTGTGGATAACCCGATCATGATTACAAAGGTTGTTACCATGCCGCCTGGACCATCAAACCCCAAGTCGATTAGCCGTGGTAACATAACTAAGAATACTGTAGTGGGTGGCAGAACTCTCCTATCTCCAAATAGTTTTAACGCCATTAACCCATCTGCTGACTTGAGGCTTCCTGCTGAAATTTTCGCCAGTGACGATTCTGTAAGCGATGCCGGTATTGGCACCACAGATGAAGTGCAGAAGGTTCTACTATCGGACTCACTACTGGCAACCACAACAGATCCAATCATCTCTACGTCAAAAGACAAAATGCTTGGTGGAATCAATATCAAAGTCGAGAAAGTTGCAGATAATTACAAAACTAACAAAAAGTCTAAGAAAACTTCAAATGTAGATGCCACCGCTAACTATGTAAACATCGCGGACATTAAGACTGAACTTCAAGATGACTTAGACTGGAATAATATGACTCTTGCTACAGTCAATAATAATACCAATGTGAATAGGTACCCTTCAGTGTGAGTATTTCGTGTTGTGGCGAGTTTTATTTAATATGACCATTATGAAAAATATTCCCTGTAAGATTTGAGCCACTTGCACTAACCTAAAGTAACGTTTTAAACCAATGCTTGCAATGCACACTTACAAAAGAGTGTCTTATTCAATTTAAACATTGGTAGAAGTTGTACTTAAGTTTAATGCAAGTGGACATTCATATCTAAAAACAAATGCATATGCCATAAATAGCGCCTGTTTTGTAGGCAAACCTCTTGTGCTCCATTGTTGTTTCCCTGAAACAGATAATTTATTACGTAAATGAGTCCCTATACTTTTTTTTTCGAATTACTGTGGCAAGGTTGTTCAATATGAGGGAATTGTGTATATAATTTGAATATAATTTCACCATTCAGGAGTAGGAGGGATAACGTCAGCAAAAATCGAGAGGAATACACTTCCCTATTTGGAACAAACTCAGACAAGTATGTTACACAACTGATATGATCTTCGTATAATTACACCTTTTGTGACAGTGCCTTGCTAAAAATATTTATAGAAATACATTTGTTAGAGTATAACAATTTTTTACTATCGACAAAATGTCAAACGTTTTTTTGTGTTATCTTGTTCCCTTTTTTTTGTGAAAGTCTGTGAAGACAAAATTTTCTACACTTTGTAATTTGTTACAAATGTGTGTTTTGTAATTTGTATAAACATTTTCGGATAAAGCATTCAGTGTGTTTGTTATTGAATCATAAATCTAGCAAAACTCTTATATGTTATTGATAAAAATTTTGTTTGAAAAATTTTAATCTGACGTAAAAAGCATTTCAAGTGAACAAGTAAATGCATTATGGAAACATTTTAAATATCTTGTTAATTACAAGGTGGATACATTTTAAATATCCTATTATTAGAAATAACAATCTGTTTTTTTTTAATGAAACTGAAATAATTCTTGTGTAGTATACTCGATATTGTATATTTATAATTAGTGTCGAATCTATTGTGCTTTACTAAAATTAAACCAAGTATTTTATGGCATTCAAAATAGGTACATATTTTCTTTAAATAATGGCTTTGCCTTCGCTAAATGCGAATAAAAAGGTTGGGAAAGCAGAATTAAATGTTAGAAAAAGACAAACGACTTGACACACTATATAAATAATCAACTAATACTGATCTGTGAATGTTTCAGGGGTGATATTGATGATCATTTGGACTCGATGCAGACTGACCTTGATTCGCTGAGAGAGCTGTTGCGAACAGACTCTTATACCTTCGACCCAAGCACACTCATTGGGGTATGTGTTTTTAATTATAAGTCTATCAAAATATAATAATTAGTATACGACTTTTAAGTATGGACTCTTTCAGCTAAAAAATCATCATAATTGTTGTTTTTATTGTCTGGGACAATTCAAAACTGTGTGTTTTTAATACAAATACCTTTCAAATTTTTATTATTTAACTTGCTGTTTGCATTTCTTCCAAATTAGTGAGAATTATGATCTACTTTTGTATTTTGTAATGTTAATAGTTTATCGTAATGTTTACGTGACATTTTGGTTGCAAAATTTTAACACATGAATTGAATACTTAATAAATTTATGTAATACAATATATGAATTAAAGTTGATTGCTAATTTACGCGTTTATTTGTCATGACTTTTCACGTCATCTTTTAAACATTAATAGTTTTGTATTACTTAACAGTATTAATTGGTATTAAACTCATCGTTATTACAGAATTGTCAAAATTAATCCCTTTTCCATGTGTTATTTTACGTAATCTTTGTAGGCTGTAGGTATTTAAGGTAACAAAGAGAGGGAAGTTTGTTTTCGGCGCGTTTCGGCGAACGGGTGTCGACATCAAGTTGCTCTCACAGGCGTATTGTGATGTAAACATTGACTGGCGCGGTGCGGTTGGCAACACTGCCGGGCCAGGTCACGTTGCAGGCAACGTGGTGGGACCGCGTGTAGAGTACGCACACAGCCGCACTGCGCACATACACACATTACGTAAACGAGGCGCTATATTATATACAAACACTGATAGCTTTCCTCGCCAATGTGCGTCATAGTGCCTACTTCTGACACAGGCTATTCACGTAGAGCGAGTTTTTAAAATCCGTTGAAGGAAAATGATTTTTAATTTAATATAATATCGACTTCTGTATTGTCCATAGACTGCCGATCCAAGACTAGGGACACCAACGATGACGCTCCCAGTCCCTCCTTACCAACAACCAGCAATTGATTATGTAATATGCGACACAAGGAACAATGATATGTGTTTTACAGATGCGAATATTTTAGGGCATAACACTCAGAGGAGTTATTAACCGAGCTAATGCTTTTGTTAGAATCATATAAAGTGACATAACCAATTTCAGCATAAATACTAAAAAATATTTATTGGACTGGAGTGTTAGAGACTGTAAGAATTCTACTCTTATTTTATGTCACAAAATGAATGCACTCGTTGACTCAATCGGGTGTAAATGTAGCATTGGTTGATACGCACATCATTTACTTAGTGGATATTTAATGCTTCTCAAGTTTTCTTACATGTTCTTAAGTTCCCAACTTATGTTATAAATATTGCTATCGTTAAAGGGGATGATCTAGAGGTACAAGGCTCTGTGAGGTTATTCTCAAAATGGCAGTTAGATCATTTGCCCCATTAGTCGTGTTAGGTATCTTTAATGGTATTATGTGCTTATAGTATGTACTATTTCTGCCTATATCGACGGCTTTCTAAAATAGCAGCCTTTCTTAAAAACATCTACTTCTACGGGTTCAATAACCATCATAATTTTAACCAATAGAAAGCTCTGTGTCGTATAATTGCATTAAAATTGTCATATTGTGAATACAGCCAAGTAATACGTCAAAGAAGGAATTATTTTGATTTGGTTTACTATTATGGAAATACAACGATATCATTTATTAAATTAACAGTAGATTTAATAACGTTTTTAGTCATGCCAATATTTGCGGTTTTCAACAATCTTCCTCCTTTTTGTTTTTCATTTGTTTTTTTGTCTTTTCAGTTGTTTGGCGCTGACGATCCGTTCTATGGCCTGTCATACAATCCAGTGGATGAAAGGCCAAAGCCGACCAATAGTGGTAAGTAGAACTCTATTACGTAACACCTAACACTAACTCCCCTTGTAAAGATTGGTTGAGTGACGTTGTGCTATAGGAGTCTAACGACATGGTCACACTGTCTGCTTGACGACATCGACACTGAAAAGTGTTCGATGGCTTTCCGCTAATATCAAAGTTATTTTTCAAGTTTATGTTAATTGTAGATACAACCAAACAGTATCCGATGATTGATTTTGATTGGCTCACCTGTAACAGCGATCCAACGCCTGCCAATTAGCTGTAGCAACACCATCTTTTCAAGATTGTTGCATAGCTGACTTCGTCATGTCTACATACCGTATCTTTTGATTTATTCTGGTTAAGGTTTAACATAGATGCGCAGTTAATGGATGTACATATTCAGTTAGAACATTGAATGAGTGGAATGTGGTATTTTAAATTTATCACCGGATATTATAATGGTTCTTATTTTAAGTACAGCACCAAAAAATGGACCAAATCAAAAGTTTTCGTACATTAAAACCATTCGTATGTACATAATATATTCTATGTATAAAGAGTACATTGTGTATGTAATATATTTTTTGCAACAGTTGTATCTATGACCATGTTACTCTTATCCTTAAAACAAAAATAGAAACCGCAAAGCGGCGCATACAGACTATAAGTCATACTTATATTTTGAAATATCACGTTTGTTATTACATAAAGTTGTCTATTTGATAATGTCTGTCGTTGAATTAGGGAAATTGGTAATTAATGTGGTAATTTTATTATAATCGTATATTGTTGTTAATTAAAGCTAAGAAGCAGAAAGCTGAAATTTCAAATGTAAGCGGTGCCGGCACTCGTGTCCAGGGTCTCTATTCAGACGATGGTAGTTATAAAATAAGTTTTTGTCGCATTATCGCAGTAGATAGCTTAGCACTGTTGAGCGAGTGACTTTAAAAAAACACTCCACATTATTGCCACAGTTAAAACAATTGCACATCACTCTTAAAACAAACACCACAATTGAATGTTATTGTAAAAAATAAGTACTCGTTATTATCTTAAATGTTTTCAAAGTATTCAATTAACGTTGTGTGGAATGTCAATCGCTAAACAGTTGGTCAGAATCTGCACGTTAAAAGTAAACTAGCTTAGCTTATAGTTAGGTTATAGTGATCGAGTACCTTCAGGCAGCTAACAAAATTTGACATCTATATACCTATTCCATTTTCAACTTCATAAATGCTTAATAGTAAAATTTTTTCGATGAATTTATGAATTATTTGCAACGGGTACTATTTCCCATTAATGAAATTACCGACTCATCAGTCCAATAGAGAGTCTTAATTATTGTTTGGTTTGTAGTCGCGGATTGATAGGTCGATAATTCCATGGATGGGAACTAACAGGGCTCAACGTCGTAAATGAGTCATTAGAGTATTATGATTTAAGGTTTATATTAATTTCAAGATCATAAATTACTCCATAATTGCAGTAAGTTATTTCAAACTTTTCAGTAGTTCCTATTCCGTTAGCTGCCAAATTGTATTTGCCTGTGAATGTAGTTGTAGGCAATTTATTATAATCGTGGGCGTTTTAGTTACTCTAGAGCCGTCTGACATAACATTTTAAACATTATTCTTGAAAAATACACTTATACGTTGTACAGCTTTAATATCAATACTTTTATTGATTTTTGTATATTAAATTTTTCGTCCGATTTATTTAGCAATAGATGAAATTATACATATCAAAACGAACTATATGTGAATCGTGTAGGGTGGCTTCATCAGGGTAGGGCTTGCAAAACCGGTTCGGTTCCTAAAATTTTGATTCCCAGTGCTGGGTTCAACTCAGTACCGGTATTCCAGGCACTTCTTGAAAAGCTTAAGAGTCTATACAACCTCAAATGGCTTTGGTTGATTTCGCATAACTGTGAAAGTGTGGAGTCAATGACTTTGGAAAAAATATATTATTGACCAATATCTCGCTAGTGACTGAAACCGGAATAAATCCTCTTTTAGACGTTATTGATGAGAAATGGTAAATGAAATTAGAACACGCCACCTTACCAAATAGCGTCTATTTATGGTATCAACGGTAGAAATCGCTCTTCGTTTAAAGATATGTGCATGCTCCATCGTCGACTTCATTGCCATTTTCCATCAGGTAAGATGCAGGTCAAATGAGCACTTAATTTTAATTTATTAAAAATAATACTAAAAATAAAAATAATCTTTGGTCGTATATCCGAATTTTAGAAAATTAATTTCGCCATCTTTTTATTAAAATCATAAAATTCTCTAGAGGTACTTTGCAACATCACTCTACAGTCAGCGTACAACACTATTTTGAAGTAGGTATATCATATGCGCCAATATTGGCAATACTTTATGACGGCTCAAGAAGCAACCAAAATATACATATCTCTTGTAATTTAGCATGTAAAAACTCGTATTTTACTTATTAGACATCAGTAACTATAAGCTTCAATTGTTATTGTCGCACAATATGAAATATTAAAAATGTCTGACACGTCATATATGATTTAGTTTTTCATCAATAAATTTTATTATTAAGCACTTCTATTATATAAATCATGAGGTTCCAATTTATTTGTTGGTATCATGGGCATCTGCGATACCTACTTGAACACAAAGTTTTTACTATTGGACCTTCCTCAAAACATGAAAATTATACTACATTAATACTATTTAACTTTACCATAGAGCAATTGGCCATGTTGAACGTGCCCTGTCGGCGAATAAATTAGGACCTTATATAATATTTTGTTTGAACCACATTTGGTTAAATAATATTTTATTTATATAATATCTGGTTTATTTCCATTTGTATACTACATAGACAGTAGTGAATACAACGAAAATGTAGTAATTTTTTTTCGTTACGAAGTGTTACATTTTTGCTCTCACACAATTGTTTGTGGATTGTAGCTATATTAATTATACTTTGCATTTAAGACTTGTATTTTGTTCAGTTGGTGATGAATAATTTAAAGCTTAACTTTGGGGCGATAGCATTTTCGTAATGATTAGATGAAAATGTCAGAGGAACACTAAACCGTTTCTACAGAGAACGAAGTGCTGCCGTCTCAATGTAGTTTATAAAACAACATTGCGTTCCAGATTGTTTGATATTATTTTTTTCTGCATGTTACCATTGGCCCAAAAATTCCATCTTCAACTTCTATCATTTTTTCAACATTCAATCATGTTAACTTTTTGTAATTTTAATATATTTTAAAATTAATTTTTCGACATTATTCATGTAAACGAATCCATTATTAACACTTATTTTCTTGGGCAAATTTCAGCTGAAGGGAATCAGCTTATCTCGTATACAGGAAATCTTCCAGACTTAGATGATATAAGCATACCGGAGTTGGAGGTTGACAATTCTCAAGAGTGCGTGTCCCCGCTGCCCGATGACGCTACCCTGAATACACCCCAAGTGGAGGTCCGCTCGCCAGCCTATCGGATGAGGCCATGAAAGAAGGCGAAGTCGAGTAGATATCACAAAAAGGAAACGTTCCAAGTGAATGGCGTTACTCACGATTAAGACTTCACTCAATTATACACGGCTATTTATTAAAATACTAACAACCTGGCAACACTATAATAATATGTATATGTTACTAACATCATAAACAATATCTTTTGTTCCATGATTTTTTACAAAATACTATTATTTTACCAAAAAGTTTTAAGTTTTTTTGTACTATCTGACACTCTTTAGACGTGTCTTTGGTAGTACGGTCAATCAACCATTTTAGCATCGGATTCATAGATTTAGTATATGGGTACCTACATACTAAATCTATGATCGGACTGGTATTTCCTTTGTTACCGCTTAGAGTTCGCTAAGTTCTAAGCGGCGATCCGCTTAGAACTAACAATTTAAATATTTTTATTTTTGTATGAAAGTAAGTTGTTTATGATGTTTTAGTCCTGTGAGGTTATTATTATTAGTATTTTATAAATAACCCTGTATGTCTATCTGTACGTTATTATTTTGAGTGGCAATATTTAACTTATAGGTGTATGTGTGTATATGACGTTAGCCTCTCATTATCGTGTAGTTGGCGTATCGCATAAGAATAATGTATATTGTATAGTTTAAAAATTTTGTGCATATTGTATTTAAGTTAAGAAATGTTAAAATAAATTGTTTATTTAACGTTTGATGAACAACAAAATGTTTTTAGTGGTTTTGTTGGGGTCTGTTTATTCAGAGAGCTATTCTCACATGAATATTCATGTAAATATCGTTTACAATTGATACATTTGTAAATTCGGTGTGAAAATAACACAATACTACTTAAACCGAATATTTTCTGGAAATTGATTTCTGAACGAAACTTAGTCTAGTTTTCAATTAATAATGGTACGTATAACGTAGTCATTTTTGCGTGTTCGTTCGCAATTCCATTTTTGGAGTCACCTCAATAAAAATTACATAATAATGTAGTAAAACTAAGTATAGTAATTTATTAACATTGTATTTGAAGTGAATAGTCAGTGTATTGAGGAAAGGTACTAATATATAAAAAGTAGGTTTCAGAGTTGTACTTTAAAAAAACGACCACTTTTTACACTTAACGTACATATTAACTCATCTAAGGTGCCTTACAGTAATGTTCTGAAGAAAGATTACACGTCTGTTTTTAAACATTATACAATATAAAGAATTTGCTCAAATATTTTGTTAATGCCAATAAAAATAAGTAGGAAAATAATAATAGTCCAGTCGAAATACAGTATTGTATAAAAAAAGGGATGGCACCAGGGTTTTAGATAAATATTCATTAAACATTTGCGTACCATTTGTATCGACATCCATGTTTCTGAGTCAATAATCTAAAGTTAAATATCGTTGAGAAATTTGTCAGTTTTTATGTAAAAAGTTGGCACAGTTTACATAATAATTTATTTAAGATATCTTAGTTATTTAATCATTGAGATTTTGTCCCAATATCCAAACGAAATATCAAAAACAATATTCCTATGAAATGTAATGGTATGGTACCATGTTACAATATAAAATATGTTTTTCAGACTGTGTATCCATTACTACTAACTACCATGTTCCTTCATCAATGCGTTCCCAAATTTGTCATTTTTTTAATACAAGTTTATAATATTTCCAGAATATTATAATAATGCAAAATAGTAAAACAGAATAATACTAATTATTTTGAGAGCTTACTCGATAATTTCACTTTAATTTCTCGGAGTTGTCAACAATTTCTTAGGCTCAATTTACGTTGTTTATTTTGTAACGATATTGTACATGGCAAAATGAATATTATCTCAATTACGTACGAACTAGATAACGAGCCAAAAAAACAAGTCGCGCATCTTCTGGCGACTGCACTGCAACTGTTATGGACAGGCGTGTCGCTTACCACCAGGCGCACGACTTGTGTTGGTCCCGTTACTTGGTATATAATTTTACATGCTCTATTAAAAAAAGATGGTACAATAGATAGGATGTTATTATTTTAACCTATTTCTACATTTGCCGATCGTAATGTACAATAATCCACGGAGTTAAAATTGTTGCATCAGTTGAAAACAAAACATAGACTCTAAATTATTGTGAATAGTATGGGTAATAACGCCTGTTCGGGGAGTTTCATATGAGACGAAAGTATCTTCAGATGCATTAGGTCATCGTAATTAAAGAAAAACGGAATATAAAGTATTTGTAATTAAACTTGGCGAACTTGCGCGCAAAAAGACTTGCCTTTGCCTATTGTTCTGAACAATGTGTAAATATTTGACCTTTTATATATACTTACATGTTGATTGTTGTGTAGTGTAAATATATTTTATTTATGTTTAAGATTATTTTAACATAAGTTGTTTCGGTTTAAGATGTATATTAATCTCATCATTTCATCGTTACTTTGTGTCAACTGTGTTATAACGAGATACAGGTTCTTACTGAGGTAGGGACAAATAAATTTTACTTGTGTTTAAAACGTAATAAACGTAGGTATCTCATTACTAAGTGCGCAGTCACACGAGCAGCATCGGAGTATTCGGTTCGCATGCCAGCTGTGCCAGCAATCGGCTATATCGTGCAGTCCTTTGCTTACAGTCGATTGCTTTCAAACTACTTTCCGACTACATAACATGAACTGCGGTTCTGGAGTTGCCATGCCGATGGAATGCAACTCGTGTGACTACCCTTATGTATTTACTTTTTCAAATTTAACGACACTTGCGCATTCATGCATCTCATACGTTTTGTACAAAAAATGTAAGTCATTGACTTGAATGCATTTACAACTAGATTGCATATTTATATTAAGTCAAAGTCATGTGGCAAGACAGTTCTGGCCATAGTATAATAAGACAAGTACTTATAGTAACTCCATACAAACATAACAGCGCGGCTTGTATGTGTGCGCGCCCAACACGTGCCGTGTACGGACGCACACATTTGCATAATCTCGCGTCGCATAGCGCTGGTTGTTCCACGCGCCTTTCATTATTAAATACAAGGCGCGCTGCTACGTTTTGGAGTTGCATACTTGTTTTATTATATTATGTACTGGCAATTTAAAAAAGCACAGTTAGGGCAAAGTACACATGGATAAGAACGTTTTACTATTCGCTACGTAAAACTTTGTTACAAAATAAGGAAGTATTAATGTGCATTTTAAGATATCTATGACTGTTTTTCAGCGTACCTTTTCGACAGTTGCTAGAACTGGCGTCTGTTTTCCGTTCATTATCATCACATACAATATATCTAATTAATTTTTTATTTACATCACACTCGCTCTTAGGCAAATTAGACCAGTTTAAACGTCCAAATAAAATACAGAGTATTTCTTATGAATAAATATTGAAATTTCATCTTAAACGTAGGATATTATAAAATTTTAATATATGAATGTTTTGTATTGACAGATTTTAGGTTTCCTTTAATATTACACATGACAAACTAACATAGTATTATCTCAAAAATTGCGTTATGTGTGTCATTCGTGTACGATTTAATTTAAAAGTGACAGTGTTGTCCTGTGACTTTGAAATTAACGCAATTTTTGAGATAGTACTATGTTAGTTGTCATGTGCGATTATTATTTAATTCACTCTCAACTCAGTCTCAGTCTTTCATTTTTAGAGAGAAATTGTAAATCTATTACCTCAAACACAACACATTGTTTAATACTAACGTTATATAGCATGAAAAATACCGAGTTTTATGTAATGACAATAACGCACCACCACTGGTCTGAAACTAGGGGATTCCCTTCATTTCTCAAATTGGTCATACTGGAAATCGAAACCGGAACCTCCGCATCGTTAGTACGACGGCGGACGGCATGTGACAAGTGTTTGATATGTGTCACAGTGAACATTGCTCAGGTTTTCATTTATAATTTTAAATACTAAACGTTATATGGCACTGAGTTGGTGGCTACTTTAAAACACTGGAAACACGCGTACTATAAACATATTTGTGGAAAGTATCTATGGATTATTACTACGTTAGACTACAGTCGATAGACTACTACTACATTTATACATTTCACCAAAGGTTAGGTCAACTCGAGTGCTAGGAGGGTCATTTTCCGGTTAGTTTTCTTTACGTAATTTAGGTGGCCATTTTTAGTATTTAAATATTCTAGAAGATTATCAAGAAGTATTACTTAACATTCGAGTGTAGTATCGTGAAATATTATTTAATATTTCACGGTAATATACTCGAATACTTAAATAATAAAAATTGCCACCGAAATTAGGTGAAAGAAAACAAAACTTACAATTACTCATAGCATTCACTTCCGCTATTGTGTTAGCCTTATCTTGTTCAACATAAGGTTGACAATGGGTTAAGTAAGTAGACAAGTTATAGTCATTCGTCTACTAGCTATGTATATTTGCGTGTTTCTAACTGTACGGGAGATCTATCATTTGTAAACCATAATTGTATCTATCTACTCATGTAATTTACAATGTCGTTTCGTTTTATATATTAATACGTGTTACCTGTTTTATTATGGTACGTAGGTACGGTATACATTTTATGTTGCAGGTATTATACCATAGTCTGATTTTCGCAGTTCAATTATTATTTTAATAATCTGTAGAATATGAACATTGTATAATAAACATTAGAATATTTTATTATGAACAAAGTTTAGTTTTTAGTATACGGTTATCTGTAAGAATATTGAATAGAAGTTATTTTTAAATTATATGTATAATAAAAAATACAAACAAATTTTGGTGTTTTAGTTTTGTAGCTTTCTAGTGTCTTGCGCCACTGCTGCGCTTATAGTACCGTCTTAGGTTCAGTTTACATTGCGGCAGAATCGAATGGAAGCGAATTTTTGTAACGATATTGTACATAGCATAATGAACTTTATGGTCAATTATATAACGTAGAAACTAGATACGAGTCAAAATCTTCCGCGGAATGCGCGAGAATTTAAAGTTCAAAATAAAGTTCATAGTGCTACGTACAAAAAATCGCTTCCATTCCCTCCGCCGCAATATAAATTGAGCCTAATTTGAAGGCGCCCTATACGATTAGATCCCACTAGTCTGCACTGTCCGTAATTGTATATGGAGAGTACCTCAGCATTACAAACCAGAAACGTGCTGAATGAGCTCTACATAAAATACCTTTTGGATGGACAGGGTTGCGATTAGAGGAGTGCGGTTTAATGAGACATAGGCGTTACGAGTAGGTTACTTTAATTGTTATAGGCGCCATATCTGTGGGCACAGTACTCTTCCAAGATTCTTAAAAGGTGTAAGTTTTCCTTACAAAAGGTGTGAAGATTATACTTTTTTACTATCATTAATAATTTGACAATTGTACAGCGCTGTAGGATACGCGACGCATATTTAGTTTTTGGTTTTAATAGAGCTTTAATATAGCCGCCTTTTTGTTTGAAAAATTAATGTGTACTTCGTACAGAGCCAAGGGAACGTCTAGATTGCCAGTCGAGGTTTAAATTCAACTTTATGCTACTTAAGAGCGGTACAGTCAAGAGCACATCAAGCTTGACACTTTGTTCTTTGGACCGTTCTTATCATAATCGGCACAGAGTTGGATTTAAGTCTTAAGTGTCAAGCTTCACGTACTCTTGACTGTACATATTAAAAATAAGAAACGTTTCATTTAATAATTCAAATGTGCGCTCCTACAACGAGTGTCATATTAATTTCGACAAACACTATTTCAACTCGATAGTACTGCGACTACACATTAATTCGACGGAACACTACTTCGACGAAGCATATGTTCGACAGGTTACTAGTCCGACAGAACACTGCTTCGACAACACAAACATTCGATAGGTCACTACACCGACAGAAAACTACTTCGACAACAGTTGAATTCGACAAATAGCTGCATAATTAGTTATTAACTATTTCTCAGACATATTTACATAAATGAGATATTCCGCTCAATAATGAAGTGGTCCCTAAGTAGTCTCTCAGTACAGCAAATATATTATTTAATTACATTAAATATTTCATATTCTGTCGGAATAGTGACCAGTCGAATACATGTGTTGTCGAAGCAGTGTTCTGTCGGACTGGTGACCTGTCGAATATGTTTTGTCGAAGTCTAAGGTCGAAGTAGTGTTCCGTCGAAGTACTGTCGAGTCGAAATAGTGTTATCGAAATTAAGTATGATACTCACCTTCAACAACTAGCTACCTATACTAACTTGGTACCGTTTGAGAGTTTCATGATCTTTTTTTGACATTCACGTTTTCTTACAGTTTTAAGCAAATTATTTTTTAAGTAAATTGCAAAGTGCGTGTATTCAAGATACGGAAAGGTAAATGAAAAAACAAAATTACTTCACATTAGTTCATTAAGAGTATAAGTTTTGTAGCATAATAAAATTAAATTAGGTGTAAAACATTATCACAGCTACTCTACAACATCCATGGAGGAATATAAAATAAATATACGCCACGTAATAATTTCAGTACAGAGTACAAAAAAACCGATCTCAAGAGTTCGTGGAATGACATCTATTTGTCAAGTTTTATTGAGATAGAGGACTGGAAAATGAAACCGGATTCATCCCTTAGTTTGCCACCCTTAGAGGTGGAATATTTCCTTCAAATTTAAATGGGTGGTCACTATTGAGGTACCCCCTTTCCAACAATAACCATCGAAATCGGTTCACAAACGAGTTATTGCGTAAAATACATATAAAAAAAAAGGAAAGTCGAATTGAGAACCTTCTCCTTTTTTTAAGTCGATTAAAAAAAATACCAAACGTCAATGGGTAATGTCAAATGATACATTATGTAAAGAAACGAAATAGTTTGTCGCGCAATCATCTTGTAGTTAAATTACGAATATATGTATAGTACATTAGTAGGAGCACGAGGACATATTTATCCTTTTGGTCCTACCAGTACGAGCACAAGGACATATTAGTCCTCGTGCTCCTACAAGTAGGAGCATGAGGAAACGGCCATACTATCTACTAGCTGGTGCCCGCGATTTCGTCTGTGTAGAATAAGTACTTCGAGTAGCCTCCTGTATTACTTACATGAGAAATGATTGGTTCTCCTTACAAACTTTCATCCTTTATTTCACCCCCATTAAGATTTATTTTTGTTACAAAAGAAACTTATGTCCTACTCCTAGGTCTCATTTATTTCTATACCAAAATTCATTATATTAGGGGTTAAAGTATGAAATTGGCGTTTTATTGCAATAGGTTCTTTGAACTTTCATAGAATCTTCATGGTTTGAGGTTTTCGAATGAAACTTTTTTCAAATGGTTTCTGTGATTTTTTTTTTTTTTAATTTGAAACATTTGAATATCGACTTTCAATTGTTTTTGTTATTCAATTTAGACAAGAAAGACGGATACTGCGAAAATTCGAGTGATTTTTGAATACGAGTTCCGACGCGGAACTAACCCGGCAGAAACAGCCCGCAATATCAATGCTGCGTTTGGAGAGGGGTCTACTAATGAACGCACCGTGCGATTTTGGTTTAAACGCTTTCGTGATGGAAATTTCGACTTAAAGAACGAGCCACGAGGAAGACCGCCCACACAGGTGAATAACGATGAATTAAGAGAGATAGTGGAAGCCGATCCTAGTCAAACTACCCAGGAATTAGCGGCATGGTTTAACGTTACCTTACCCACAATATTGACTCACTTGCGTCAAATCAATAAAATAAAAAAATACGAAAAATGGGTGCCTCATGATTTGACTGATCTGCAGAAAGAAACGCGTGTTGAAACTTGTGTTGCCTTGTTGAACCGGTACAGAAATGAAGGAATATTGGATCGAATTGTAACATGTGATGAAAAGTGGATTTTTTATGATAACCGGAAAAGAAAAATGCAATGGCTGACCCCAGGTCAAATGCCACAACAGTGTCCTAAAGCAAAACTTACCAATAAAAAGGTAATGGTAACTGTTTGGTGGTCTCAGCATGGTGTTATTCACTACAGTTTTCTCCGATCTGGTCAAGCAATAACGGCAGATGTCTATTGTGCCGAACTCCGAACCATGTTGACAAAACTAGCAGTAAAACAGCCCCGACTCATGAATCGATCTTCACCATTATTGCTCCACGACAACGCGAGACCTCACACAGCACGAGAAACCATTTTGACCCTTCAGGAACTGCAGTTAGAAACCATTCGTCATCCTCCGTATTCACCAGACCTTGCTCCAACGGACTACCATTTTTTTCGTGATTTGGACAATTATCTACGTGACAAGAAGTTTTCTTCCCAGGAGGCAGTACAAAATGCTTTCACACAGTTTGTGCAGTCTAGATCGTCGGAGTTCTATCGCAAAGGCATTAATAACCTTCCCATTAGATGGCAGCAATGTATAGATAATAATGGCAACTATTTTGATTAAATAAATTTGTTAAAAATTTAAAAAATAAACAATTTAGATTTTCAGTACAAATCGGCAATTTCATACTTTAACCCCTATTATTTTAGTTTAGGCGTGAATATATAGCGGTGAGATTTACTTTCGCATTTATAATATGTAAATAATAAATAAATAACGCACACACTCACAGCCCTGCACTAGGGAAACCCTGTATTGCGGGTGCCATGGACACATATACATAGATAACCAGAAATTACACTCAAATTCATGAGAGTAATAAGTAAGGCCATACAACTATTTCTCCCGATCCGGGAATTGAACCCGGAACCTCTGCTTGGCAAACCAGTACGGTAACCGTTCGGCCACGGAGGGAGTTCATTTATAATATTAGTTTAGATTTAGATAGAAATATTTAATTTGTAATCACAATGAAAATATTGCATTTCCTTATTTAAAAAAAAAAAAAAGATTTTATCTTTTATACAGAAACTTAGTAATACAGTTGAATGAATATTTTATACTCACAGAACATAATTATTATATTATAGGTACTTAGTAATAAAAGCTCCGAAAAGTAAATTAAAAACGAGCTTAATCAAAATATGAATACATATAAGCTACCGTAAACTTCGGTGCGAAAAAGAATACGGCAATCAAGCGCCAATCGAATGCAATACTGAAAGTTCCGAAAAATCTTGCTGAGTAACCTACCGACTTACATTTTACCCAAAATGACCTTATACATTTCATAATTTTGCCGCTTGTTTAACTATTCCACTACACGGAACAACATAGGACATAAGTTTTTCTTTCGGATGTAGTCTCTTTTCCGTGTCTACGAATTTGTTTTCTTTATTGTTTGTTAAATATGATAATTTTGTCATTTGTAAGTCAATGATTTTGTCGGTATATATTTCATTTGTTTTTCGCAACCTTTATTATTTCCCTTATGTGATTAGGGATACTTTAAAAACTAAACATAATAGTAATAGGTATGACCGTTTACACAAAAGACGGATTTACATTTGTCTGACGTGTCATGTCGCGACGCGTCAGAACGGTACCTATCGGTTTCATACATTTAATATGGTTAGATTTATACGAGTGTGTCGCAATCTGACGTGACGGCTTATGTTGTGTGTATGAAACCGATACCGTTCTGACGCGTCACGATACGACACGTTCAGACAAATGTAAATCCAGCTTTGATTTACAAACCAAATTAGGTGCTTATATAAATAATAGAGAAGTACAATGTTAAGTTATTAGATTAGTTGTATTACGCAACTGCGAAAAAATATATACAAATTAATATACTATCGTTATTTACAAATAAAACATAATAATGGTCGCTTTAAACACGTATCACTACCTATTACGGATTAACGTAAATGAAAAAGATAATTTTGTATCTTTAACTGAGTTGGTGTTTTACGTAAAGATATTTAGTTTCAGAAATCGAGACTGTATTACATTAGGAAGATAGAGTATGTCAACAGTTTAAAAACAATTACTTTCACTGTTACAATTTGTTTCAAGAAGATTTTCTGGGAAATTAATGCAATCGGAATTTTCTCATCAAAGCAGGTAAAAATGCTGGAGCTGATGACCTGTTCTTAAGGCCGTCCGTAATATAAGGTCCTGGTTTAGACATTAGTACTGTATGCAGTGTAGGCAGGCTTCCAATCGCGCATGCTAGTTCAGGTGACATGAATCGGCAACCTTGGACATCCAGGAACTTCAGCTTTTCACAGTGTGACCTCACAGCTTCTAAACTCCTGTCAGTAAGTTGATTGCAACCCTGAAAGATAAACATACATAGTTCATACTGTAGCCCAGCACCGGCGCCTGTCTGGCGGTTTTTCTACAGAACATACTTCGATGAGTATGCCTATGACCTCATTCGGCTCGCCCCCTTTTACCATTGGAGATCCAGAGGTGCGGCGAGATATCATGCCTACCTACTTGGTCGATATTTCCTTCGGCGTAGGTACTAAACGCTTTTCGTTAGCGCACAGCTCAGAAATTGAATTTCCTGCCTGCGACTGTGTTTCCGAGCACATACAACCCCGAGCATCTTTAAGGTGCGACTGAATAAGCATCTTCGTAGACCCCATCTTGGCTCCAGGGTTAAGTAATAATAATAATAACGCACACACTCAACATAGTCTCGCACTAGGGATACTCTGTGTCGCGGGTGCCATATACTCACACATAGACAACCACAAATTACACCCAAACTCACGAGAGAAATAAATGTAGGCCATACAAAATATTTCTCCCGGCCCGGGAATCGAACCTGAGACGTCTGCGTGGCAGTTCGGTAAGTAGTGGTCAAGTCCATTTACTTAAAAAAAAAGTTAAAATGTTCTTAACTTCAGTGTGATTGTGGTGTTTTTACCACATACTATGGCTTTCATGTCATCTTACGCCGTTTACCCTAACATCTGCATACGCGACAAACTTGCAAGCAATAGTGGGAGGGCAGAACAGTATGGTCATAAAATTTTACTTGCCTTTGAATGAAAAAACAAATATACGCGATTTAAATTTGGAAAAATAGTTTTTTTTCCTATGTGTAACAATCGCGAAAACCCAAGAACTCGATATGTTGTGTGATGTTGTTTTATAGGTGAATTAACTATTTTGTACGAAGAATCAAATTTATTTAAATACTTACACGTAGTTCCAAGTGCTGTAATCTTGGCAAGCCTGTTACAATCTCTTTTACAGCTTCGTCTGTCAAGTTATAGCAATCAGTTAAGTTGAAGTATTCAATACTGCGGCAGTTTTTAACGAGGTGTTCTAGTCCTTCGTGAGTTATTTGCTGGCATCTACTCAGATTTAATTTTATCATTTCTTTGAAATTAAATGCATAGGTTAGGCTAACATCTGTTATTTTATTGCAGCTGCTGACATCCAGTTCACGAAGACCTTTCATACGCGCTAAAGAGTAACCTGTGAAGGAGTTCGTGGTCAATTTCTCGCACATACGCATCACGTCGCGTTTTCTCCTAGCATCCCTTACAATTTCTTCTTCAGCTCTGGATCCAAGGTGTATTCTAGGACGAACAACATCAGGTTCGTCGTAATCAGACATGGAGGCTTCATCATCCCCTTCAGCTTCTACTTTCCTCATGCCTGTCAATCCAGCATCAGATACTTTATCACAGTGACTCATCTTTAATGTATGTAGTAACACTTGGTTTTTGAAAATCACTTGTATGGATACATCTGTAACTGCATTGAAACAGAAACTTACGTTTAAAGATTTTAAGTTTGGCAATGTTTCAGAGAGCATTATGATTGCAGCTTGATCTAAATTCAAGGAATGTACATCTAGTTCCTCTAAGATTTCGTTTTGTTCATTAAAAATGCCTTTCTTGAGGCCATCCTTAGTTATCAATTCACATTCAGATATGTTAAGAAATTTTAATTTCTTTAACTTTTCTAACTCAGCGATACCCAGATCGGTGACAGCTCGGCATCTTTGTATGTTGAGGTACTCCAGGTTGACTAGACTTTTGCAGATGTGTACTAATGTTTGGTCGGTGACTCGAGTGCACAGACTTACATCAAGTTCCCTTAATGTAGTTTGATGCGTAGTTAGAGCTAAAAACCCAGTGTTTGTTAACTGATCACAAGAGTGAACTTCCAGAGATAACAGTTGTAAATTTTCAGTTTCTGAAAGCAACTTTAATGCTGATCCATCGATGAGTGTGTTTGAAAACAACAATCGTTTGAAGTATTTAGCTCTAGACTTGATGAATTGCCAGACAAAATAAAATGTTAATACACTTTCTGATGGGTTTTGGAAAATGTCAATGTTTGGTGGATAAAACTTTTTAACTAAGCCCAAATGAAACTGCAAGGAGCACCCAGATAAATTTAATTCCTCAAGAGATGGCGCCGCTGACACAAACCTATCGAACAGTGCATCTGTAAGATATTGGTTTCCTGATAAACTGAGGATTTTTAGATTTTCAAGACTGTTGGATAATAATCCTACTGTTTTGCCTTCTAATAGCCGCCCGGACATAAATAGTTCTTTGCAGGATTGTACAGCTAGGGCTTCGAGATAAGCACATTTTTCAAGCATGTAGACAAAAACTTTCTCACATACATCAGAATTTTGTAGCTTTACAGTTTTTATAGTGTCACCCATTTGATCCCAGAAACCATTCAGTTTGCTTGATATTTCCACCTCGTTAAATTCATAATTGTAATAAATAACAGAGGAGTTTTCGAAAATGTCCAATGGTGAGTTCTCATCATTCAACCCTGTCTTGTAGAACACCACAACTTTGTTTTTCATAAAGCAACGGTCATTGGCTGCTAAATACCAGGAGCGGCACACCTCACTTGCAACTCTTCTATCAGATTTTGGCAAATACTTGAATAGGTACACCAGTACCTGAAAAGGTAATTTACTATTTACAGTATATTTAAGAGATATACATTAAGGTAGCATACTACAGAGTTACCAAACATTTACACAATAGACTATAAAATAATGATAAAATATTATACTTCTAACTATAAACTACATTGAGTATACTATTTTTCGTACTCATAACTATCATAAATACATAATATTAAATATGTCAATAAAAATTACTTGATAATAATGCAATAAATTACTTTATTAAATTACATTATTGTAATAAAAAAAGTGTAATTAAATAATAATAATAATAAATAAATAATTTATTTTCTCCCAACATATGTAGTCATACATTGTGTAGTCTATGTACTCTATGTACTCTAACAATCACAGGCAAAAGGTTGGGATACAGGAGCTCTAACTAGGTTAGACCTGTGCTATGAGTCTCCTGGCGTTCAACACTCGATTACATTAAAAATACTAGGTTTTAATTGACGATCGATGACATAGGGATGACAAAATAAAACAGAAACAAAACCCAAAAAGTAAGAGCGTATTTGAGGCGTGTGTGTGTTCGTATGTGAGCGTGCGTGCGTTTGTGCATGTATGTATGATCATATAGCTGAAGACACTAGAAAGTACTCAGTCTCCTCGTAGCTAAGTTTTCTAAGCCAACCAACCCCTTTTGCATTCCCTTCTTGTTTTGGGATAGATGTGACACAGTTTGTTAACATTACTGTAGAATCCACCACCTTGATATACAAAGAATTTTTCTATGAAAGCTGTTTTACCTTTTAAATACGTACAAATTTAAATTTTTTTTTGCTCTTTTCTACTATTACCAGTTTCATGTTCTAAGGGATACTCAACATGCTGATGTTGCTTGACAACAGAAGAGAAAATAAATAACCGTCTTACAGTTAGAACCCCGCATTCCGTATACAATGTTGATGTAGGGTACAGTCTAGGTTTGAAATTACAAATGTTTAGGATCATTCTTTCTGCTCGTTCAGCCTCCAACATAAAAGTTTTAGCAGAGCCACCCCAAGTTGATATGCAGTACATCAAAAGTGATCGACAAAGTGACCGGTAAACCACTATCGTAATATTACAATCTGCCACATATCTCAGATATGTTTCAAAGTAAAAGTAAAGAAAGTTTTTTAACTTTCTGTGTCAATGCATTAATATGCTGTTGAAAGTTCAATTTAGCGTCTATACTAGGTGAAATTACAAGCACATGGGACTTGTCAACTTGTTTCAGGGTGACGAGCACAGTGGCAGTGCGCCACAGATATTTGCAATTTAAAGAGCTGAGTGGCACTGCAACTGTTAGGAACAGGCATGTAGCTTAACATCAGACGCACAACTTATTCAACCCGTCATTTGATATTATAAAAAAAAACTTAATCGAAGACATTCTGTATATAAAACAAAACAAAGCTCAACAACTGGCTATGAAAGAGTGAATTAGTGCTAAAAACGTGAACTAAAACAAACAATAATTTTCAACAGTATGATGTAGACATATCACACTGTTGACCCACCAGGGCACCTCGGCGGAACTTTATGCCCTTCAGCTGGCAAGCGGGGCTCTGCTGGCTGTGACCTTTTAATTCCCTACCATCTCGTGAGATGTGTACGGAGAAAGAAGATATAAATATTACCGCTTTAATTTCCTCCTTGGAGGAAACGATTGCTGAGATGGATAATCCACCCAGCAATAACGACGTGACTTCGGTCACGGCTATGGATACGAACCAGGCGGGTCCTTCGGATCTCCTGGTATCGGAATCCAGCGCTCAGCCGTGCATTCGGCTGAGCGGGTCTCGCCGGAAGAGACTGCAGGGCCTGATGAGAACAGGTATGAGCTACGCAGAAGCTCTGCCTCTATCTGAAAAGCCCTAGAGTGATCTTCCGGTGTCCAAACCACCTCCAAAACCAAAAGCACAGAAGCGTGAACGGTCAGAGGAGGCGTCGCCACAGGAGCATGTCAGGCAGGCTCCCAGGGCCATGGCGCCAGCTGAAAGCAGGAACAGACCTATTTTTAGCGTTATTAATGGCTCCCTGCGCGTGGTTATCCGGAATTCGGAACCCATGCCAGTGTAGCAAATAGAGCTGGTGGAGCTGTTCCTGGTCCGCACCATAGCGAGTACTACATCGCATGGCAAGGGGCCGAAGTTCCTAGGTCTCTTTCACAAGCCAGACTGGATTCTTGTGACCTGCAAGGACCAAGCAAGTGCAGACTAGCTTGTGGGAAAGATCGACAATTTAAAGCCGTGGCCGGAAGCCCAGCTATCCTTGATTGAGGAGAGCGAGCTTCCGAAGCCCACCACCGCCATCACCTACATTACCAAGAAGGGATGTGAGTCGGTGCAGATGGCCATCAGCCTGCTGGGGGCCCAAAATAGAGGCCTCCGCACAGAAGTGTTAAAGGTTCTTCATACTACGGAAGATGCGAACGGATGGATAGTCGCGTTCGCTCTTGACGACCCATCTGTGAAGAATCTACGTGCCTCAAATTGCCGGGCACACCTTGGTTTAAACAGGTCACGTTTAGGATGAAGGGGTGTCCGGAAAGTACGCTCAGTGGCGACACTACGCGAGGACGGCCTCGTCCTTCTCGTAGCAGTCGGGGGCAGCAACGCGGCCGGGGCTTCAATCCCCGCTAGATGGCGGCCACGGGGGATAGGGTGAGGGTTCTCCAAGCAAACCTCCACCATGCCGTGGCTGCAACGGTTGTGGTGGAGTGGAGAGAACGGTTGCTTCGCGAAAGGCAACGTGGATGTCGCCCTCATTCAGGAACCCTGTGTTAACCACACAAACATAATGGGACTCAATGCCGCTGGGAAGTTGATTTACAACACATGTGGAAGTAGACCCAGAGCCTGCATTGTTTATAACAAAAACATTAACCTTACGCCTGTTCCAGAGTTGATGACTTTGTAGCGGCATATCTCGGCATACCTGGAGAAAAGAACAATCCCACGGAAGATCTGACACGATTGGCGGAATACGCCCGGAAACACTAAGCAAAACTTCTGGTGGGAGGTGATGCCAACGCTCACCACACCGCCTGGGGGAGCTCAGACACCAATAACAGAGGTGAGTTACTATATGACTCTATCCTATCAAGTTGCCTGTATCTTAATAACGAAGGATGTACACCAACTTTTGTTACTAGGTCAAGACAAGAAATTCTGGACATTACTTTCTCTACGGCTAGGCTAGCCGGACTTATAACCGACTGGCATGTTAGTGACGAGACGACGACGTCGGATCATAAACACATAAAATTTGACCTGGGAGCAGGAAATGTCTGTCACCCCACTACATTTAGGAATCTAAGGAACACAGCCTGAGGCGTCTATAGAGACAGACTAGGACATTATCTATACAAGGGTGTCCTAAATCGATCAAAACCACTCAGAGTCTAGAGTTAGCTGTTGAGGTCACTTCCAGGGGCATCATCAGCGCTTTTGAGGAAAGCTGCCCGCCAAAAATTCGGACCTCCAAAATGAAGGTTCCGTGGTGGAATGCAAAACTGAGAATGCTAAGAGAGACAACTCGAAGGCTCTTCAATAGGGCCAAACTAACAAAGGAATGGGAGACCTACAGGAAAGCCCTAACTAACTATAACATGGACATAAGGAAGGCCAAGCGAGCATCGAGGCGGCAGTTCTGTGAGGAGATCGCTAGTGCTCCTCAAGGTGCACGTCTACATATACTGCTCGCTAAAGTCAATTCCCATCAACCAGGACTGTTAAAGAAGCATGATGGGACCTTCTCGACTTCTACGATAGAAACCCTTGAGCTTTTAATGTCAACCCACTTCCCGGGGGCCTTGTGCGACACGCCCACTAATCCAGCAACGACGCTACATTCACTTCGCAACGAAGACTGGAACAAAGCCGCCAACATAATAATAACCCGACAAGTGGTTTGGGCCGTAAGCTCGTTTAAATCGTATAAATTCCCTGGTGAGGACAGTATTACTCCCATCTTACTGCAGCAAGGCATAAGTGTACTCTTGCCATATGTGGTCAAGACATACAGATCCAGTCTTGCTTGGGGACACATACCGATGCAATGGACAACGTGTAAAGTTGAATTTATACCGAAGGTAGGCAGAAAGGACTACTCTCTTGCTAAGTCCTTTAGACCCATCTGCCTAATCTCATTTTTGCTTAAGGCAATGGAGAAGGTACTTGACAATCACATTAGGGCTTCGTCCTTAATATATGTATACTCCTATCTATCACACTCAACACGCCTATCAGAGTGGAAAGTCCACAGAGACAGCTTTGCTCCAGTGGACAGGAATGAATTAGCGTTTGAGGACAAACAAATAGCACTGTGTACCTTTCTAGACATTGAGGGTGCATTTGACAATACACCCATCCATACTCTGGTGAAGGGCCTAACCTGCAAAGGTGTGGACGCTGCAACCACGAGATGGGTACAGAACATGTTTTTAAGACGCAGGGCCAGTATCTCGTTATTTGGGGACCGGCTTGTGGCCTCCACAGTAAGGGGTTGCCCGTAAGGTAGGGTAGTTTCTCCTCTCCTGTGGATTCTTGCTGTGGATCAGCTCCTGTATAGGTTGGATGAACTGAATATTGCTCAGGGATATGCGGATGACCTGGTGATCACAGTTCGAGGGCGCTGCCAAAGTACTTTATCATCACTTATGCAAGTGACTTGACACCATTTCTGCGTGGTATCAAGATAACGAATTATCAATCAATGCGGAAAAGACAACAATTGTCCCCTTCACCAGGAGACGGAAACTAGACAAACTAGTGGATCCAATTCTTGGTGGCAGGGCTGTGGGCTTTTCCGCAGAAGTCAAATATCTAGGGATAACTCTAGATCAAATCCTAAGATGGAACCACCATATAGCTAACACGATCAACAAGGCCAAGATGGCCTTAGGTATCTGTAGCCGTATGGCGGGACAGCGTTGGGGTCTAAAACCAAAGATGACTCTCTGGTTATATAAGGCAATTGTGAGACCCATAGTGACTGACGCCTCTGTTGCTTGGAGTGCTAAAGTCAGCCAAACAACCACAATAGTCACATTGGGCAGTCTACAACGCATCGCGTGCCTGCTAGCAACGGGAGCCATGTCCACAACCTGACTCCTCTGCATTTATTCATACAGAGGGAGGCCAGTACCAGCACTTACAGGCTTACCTCTAGGTTAAGGAGTAGATGGCTCTCCCAGACATTGAAATCAGCCCAAGACTCAATTCTGGAACACTCTGTTCTGGGAATTCTGATGTCATGCTTCCCAAACAAAACTTTAAAAAACTCTACCAGGTAGAATTTCCTACTAGGGAGGACTGGGAAACTAGTCTCACCTGGAAGGATGGTAGCCTTCTATGGTATACTAATGGGTCTAAGATGGGATCCAATATAGGCTGTGGTATACACGGTGTGAGACCCATGCTCAGCTACAAGCTGAACATGGGACGACACTCCTCTGTCTTTCAGACCGAAGTGTACTCCATAATTACTTGTGCGGATTTGAACCTGAAGAGAGGCTACATTGACAAGCATATTTACATAAACTCAGTTAGTCCAGGGGCTCTTCATGCATTAGCCTCAGTCACCCAAACATCGAGAATTGTAGAGAACTGTGTAAATATACTGAACACTCTTGGGGAAAGTAATACAAAGGTACTGTGCTGGGTTCCAGGCCACTCTGACATCGAGGGCAAAGAGTTAGCAGATGAACTGGCAAAGGCTGGTGCTAGGGAAACCTTTATTGGACCCGAACCCTTCATAGGGATAGCATACAGCATGGCAAAGCTCACTCACCTAAATGAGAGCACACACCTCTGCCAAGAAGTGTGGCTACAGAACAAGGGTTTTGAGCATTCAAAAGCCCTGATATCTGCCTACAGTACCAAACACTGTAGAGAAGCTCTGCCATTGGACAGGAATGGCATAAGAACGCTCACTAGAACCTTGACAGGGCATTGTGGCTTAAATAAGCACATGTCAAATATAGGGCAGAGAGAAAATAAAGAATGTAGATTTTGCCACACAGACGATGAAACTCCTGTTCATCTACTCACCCAATGCTACCCCCTTCTGGGCGTACAAAGTTCCATACTGGGAAGGCACATGCCACAACCAGAGGACATTAAATCTGTCGGAGCCAGGAAAGTCCTTCAGTTTTTCAATGCTGTCGGCCTTGGCTCTTCACTGTAATTAGTGGTGATCACAATAGATCAGTCAATGGTCGCAGTGATGAGGGGATGCATTGGCCCTGAATGAAGCCACCCTAACTATAATAATAATAGGTATTTCCATTGACTTACAATTGTATGGACGTCGGGTCTGTGCTAAAAAGTGTCCGAACTTATAGGGCGTTAAAATCGTATACAGAGCGTCATTGACGCTTTAGTCTTCGTTTGGTTGACTGACAGCGAAGCAAGCAAAATTAGACAGTACTGCGATGACATTACAATTTAAACTCAACGTGTTAGCTTTTTCATATTCCTTTACATGTCACTACGTTTAAATAGGTTGACTTGGGACATTTTTTTCAGTGGTTTTTGTATTAGACCCGTCGTCCATTTATTTGTAAGTCAATGGGTATTTCATAATTATGTATAAAACATAATTCACACAAATTTATGAGACAAATACTAAAGTCTTTGTTATTTATCTTATTCATGATCGATAAACCAAGCGCAAAAGTGAAACCTTATCTGACATTCAAAAATATTCAATAGAAAGGAAATCACGTGAAAACAATTATAATGGTAAACTCTAACAAAGAAATTTTCCATTAAATTATTCCCTTGATGTAACTTAACTTGAAACATATAATTACCTCGTACGGCAACTCCATTTGTATTGATTTTATACAAAAATGTTAGGTTTCTGGATAATTTAGCTGAATTTCACATAATTTTTTATGTTTGAAGACTTCCTGTTTGACCCCACTGACATTGACATTTTACCAGTTGACAAGCGAGCAGCTGATGAAATTGCGCTTTTTTATTTACTTTCTTGCAAACACTTTAAGCTTATGCGTTTTTTTTGTGTAGAGTTCGCTTTGGATGCGTTCGCAATGTACGGTTCTGGGACATTGTTAGCCAGGCGTAATAGAGCCTAATGTGAGTTAGGGTCACCCAAACTCGAATGGTTTCCACGATCCATTTTTTATTACCTAACTAGATACGAACTAGGTATCTGCTCGTTAGATATTGACTTACAATAAGTCAATGTCGTTAGAGAAGATCAGTGACCGGCGGCGGCGTCCCGTCGGGCAGGTAGATTGGTACATTTAACTGCCTCCGTGGCCGAACGGTTACCATGGCCGGACTGTCACGCAGAGGTCCCATGTTCATTCCCGGGTTGGGAGAAATATTTGAGTTTGGGTGTAATTTGTGGTTGTCTATGTGTGTGTCCATGGCACCCTCGACACAGGGTTTCCCTAGTGCGGTGCCATGTTGAGTGTGTGCGTTATTATTATTATTGTGCGTTATGCACAGTAGGTGTCGTAAGTTTACGTATTTAAATTTTAAAGTGTGTAAACGTCTTTGTTTGTTTGTCACAGTCTGTTAAATGGGTTTAAAATGATTGTGTAAATAAAGAATCGAAATTGTATTAAAATAGCCTTCTGCCGGCAACGTGTTCATATGAGTTTGCGCTGTGGTGACAATGTTGTTGTTGCCACTTGTTGGGCGCCAGTCCGCTCCGTGAGCGCGGGGTGAACCCGCGTCCTTTCTCGCCCGCTGTTCCTGCAATACTTTCCCGATAAACTTTCGCAACACGCGCTTCGTAAAAATTAAAGGACTGTATTTATTTAACACAAGACCTCTTTTAAAGGTTACTTGACATGTCGAGAAGGATGTCGCGAAGAAAACAGGCGAAACCCAGGTCTTTGAGACGTGAGTGTTTAAATTTCTGTTTAAATTAGCGATTATCTTAACTTGATTTTGACCGGCAAATATTATCAGAGAATGTTAAAATTAAATGTTACATCTTTTTAAGCCTGCTGCTGCATGCTACCTGTAAGTATCTACATGGTTGCTACACGTGAATATGCAACTGTTATGGGAACGTTAATTGCATTTTAATTTACGATGTATTTATTCTAATGCAACTCGCACGGTGCGCTAAGTATAATATGTAAAGCCTTAATTATTATGTAATACCGCATTGTTATTGTTTACTGATGCCGTTGAAAGATGAACGGATTTCTCTAAAATTGAACAATGTAGAGTTGCTCGCTTCAGCGTCAATATTAGTGATTTAACTCATATTTAATTATTAAGGCCACGATTCGTATAAATACAAAAGCTGCAAGCATGAAACGGGTTGGTGCAGTGAGCGATAGCATGGCCCACGGTTGGACGTGTAATTAATGGGTCAGCGTCAGCGGGACGGCGGACGGCCCAGCCACCACGCTGATGTGATGTACGCGTTGCGTCGCGGCCGCGGTCGGGGCGCCCTAATATCGTCATTTTATCAGTGCCGGCTTGCGGTCGCGGGAAATGGTACTTCACTTAACTCACCTGCTCATTGTGCCAGCGATAGGTACTGTGCGAGTTCTAAACACATGTCGGGTAACTGTGGTACCGTTTGAGAAAAAACTTTAATTATAAATCAAAAGGTCGTCCCTCTATACATCGAATTAATTCAAGGCGAGATTTATGTCGACGAATATAAATAGAAATACCGCACGTCTTGACAATGTCGAAATATTTTTTCAATCCTTCCTAATAATAAAGTAGAGCAAAGCGTCACAATTTTAAATGAATAAAGAAAAAACTTTACAAGCTGACACCGTGGGGATAAAAGAAAGCAGAGAAGAAACAGTAAAGGAAAAGGAATTGAACTCTGCAGTATATTCTCGCTATTTCAATGTATAAACATAGTTAGCTACCCTTTAGCTTAAATATAGGTACGTGCGTTTATTTATTCGTTCCTATTTATTATATTACCTAGTTAGTGGATATGAGATTAAATGGCAGTGTACAGCAGAATTCTTAATTATGTTTCACAGTGCTTTTACTAAAAGGTATTTTGGAATCTATCTGGTAATTTCAAATCTTTTAAGACAATTGTTATTAACCATTCTATAGAAGTATTTACTGCTGCTTCTCTGCTGAGAGGATGCTTCCTAGGTCGCACAATATAAAGCAATTGGTCTGTAACGTTCTATTAGCCGCAGATTGCTTTTCAAATCCACGTCTGCCTTCGCCAATGGTCCAATTATTTTAAACAAGGAATTGTTATTTTTCTTTTGGCGAAAACAAGAACAATGTTTGTGGCTGAGCTGCGATGTAATGTTGTTAACTTTAGGTATCGATCTGGCGTCTAGTACTTTCGTAATGCGTCTCTTGGGGCACGCGAGGATGCTGCGACTCCCCGGCTGGCTCCAGGGATGTCTAATGCAATACTACTCCGTTACCGTACTTATTTCGTTTATACCTCATTTTCATTGCTCTGTTTTAGTTGTCGCCAACTCTAGCTTGAGATTAACGAGATTTGTTGACAGAATATTGTGTATTGTTTCGTGATGCATTGTGTGTATAACACATTTTGCATCTTACTTAGTTCTTACATACTTATAGGATTGGTTTTAGTTTTTGCACTATAAATAGTACGTATTTAAAAAACACTATTATTGGAATTTTTGCCACATTAAAACTTTTGGATGAAAGGACATTTATATGCTTTATTATCTCAAATTTAGTATGTAATCTATGTAATCATCATTACATGCTGACAAACTAATTTGTGTTATCACAGCTGAGATTATTGTGTAGTTCTCAAATTGAATACAGACAATATATTTTATTTTTAGTTGATACACTAGAGGTAAAAATACAGTGATGACGTTGCAAAGACGTCATTTATACTAATACAATGTTAGAATTAGCTGATATCACGTATAATTGAAAACTGCGTCGTAACAGATAGGTAAAACAAACTCAATTTAATTTGCGATATGGCTGATAATGCAAAAAGATGTAGAAACTGTTATACGAACTCCACAGTACCAACCAATGAGTGTTTCTTTTGATTTGGTCCATAATTCGCAACAGTAACCGACACGTAAGCCTGCTCGCAACCCGCTAGGGCCCAATAACACGTCAATTTCGCCAACGTCCCTTATGCGCGAATTAAAATTTTACATCCAGTGAAAATGTTAATCCTTCCCATCCCAGGCAGACTATAAAAACGAATTGCCGTATCTTGAATTGTTTACTCGCATATTGTCTACCTGAAGGCTTTTTCTGTCCGTCGAGTATTGTATGAATCATACAGTTGATAAGGGTTGGTGGAGGACAAGGAATTCGATGTCAAAATTTTTTAATTTTTTTAATGTAGTAAGTGTTTTAATCTGCACTTAAAACAATATTAGAATTGACGGCTATCAATTTAAAGTAAATACAATTTATAGTTAGAAAATAAATGCATGGATAAGTACTGTTTCTGAAAAAGTGGAAAGGTAGATAGATATGTTCCATGTGTATCTCACGCTTTCTCTGTTTTACTCTCATGTGAGAGACATTGTATATATTACTATACTTTCAAAGGGTACTTACACACAAATCAAAACACTCAATAAGACTAAACAGTGCATGGTTGTATGTAAGTACATCTATAAAAAACGTATAAATAGGTACTTATACAAAGAGTGGGGTAGGTGTAAAGATCACAATGAAACATATGAATGTTTTATGCGAGGTAAAAGCTTCGGATGGACATATTTGTAAGCCTTTTGAAGAGGGTTAAGTCAATTTAGCTTTGTGCGTCAACTTTTTTAGCTGAGCTTAGACGTCTCGCTACTGTGTAAATCAGACATTTAGCTTGTATTTGTACATAAACTACGATATGAATTGGTGAGAAGTCTTTGTTTAGTTATAAGCAGCAATAATGTTAATTTCAAAACAAATGAAACTTTTAAGGAACACGAAAGTGGGTTCTAAATTCTATCGTCTACTAGTGTTGTCAATAGCGCATATAATATATTATAATATATATTTATATAATAGTCATATAATATATATATTTTACACTTTGTATTTAAAATATTTGGATAGTAAGAAAGATTCAAGTAGGTGCAACTGCTACTGGTTGCTATGGATTTTAAACAACTAAGAATTGTGAATGTCACCCCGAAAAAGCTGAATTCTATATTCGAAATTTCATTTAATAACACGCAAGCATTTAGAGTCATCAGTAATGCAGCGATAAGAAGTTGATATTGGCGGGCGCCTGGAGGGATGCGGGGTGTAGCGCGTCCATAAAACTTGTAGAGGCCCGGGAGAGCCGCCGGCAAATTTCCCCAGGGTTCCAGGCTGGGTGGCACCGCCCTGCCAGCTCTGGGAAATACGCTCCAGCCATATCATAACAGTTTTATGTTGATGTTGACCTCTCATCCGAGGCACATAGTAATCGCTTTAACTTTCGAGTTACCTATTGCCCTACTTGTACGTTAAATAAAGGTGATTGTAGCGAATCGCAGCAGTCGCTACAAATCTCTTTTGTAGGTATATATATATTATATATTCTTTTTGTGTATTGTTTTATATTTAAATTCTAAATTTAAATGTGATTTTTTTGGCGCCTTTTCTTACTATTGTTTCTGTTTTTGCGTGATAGCTGTGCGTTGTTTTATAATAAACTGTAAGTATATTTACTTTGTTCTTGATCATTCGTTGATAGCACCCACCCGAACCCATTGATACAGTCCACTATAGTGATAGATAATGTATTAAATAGAATAATGTTCGAACTAAAGTCAATCAGTTGTTAAAAGGAAGGGTAATATTCATAATGATTTATTGATTAGGTAAGTGTACCCTATAAAAAATTAAATAAAGGCATTGATTTATTATTGAAGGCACTAAATAAGGAATAATGATATAAAAATTGTTAAATACATTCAATATGAAGTTACACATTGATATTGCCATTAAGAAA